AAAAAAAAAAAGATCACACAGCCGTGACATTCTGCTCCTGAGTCATCCCTTCTTCGGTTCACAGGGGACTCACCCGGCCCAATGCCAAGGTACTGACCACACTGCCAGTAAGTCCAATTGTGGGTACTGAGCGCCCCCTGCAGGGAGGGAGGGAATAGGCCGTTCAGAGTGAAGAAGGTGGGCCCGTTTCTGCACCTGGTTAGAAGGTCCTAGCTCAGGCCTCGGGAGCAGCCAGCAGAAACCCCCTTCCCCCGAGGGCCACAATTCTCCAGCCCCAGCTTAGCCTGCCTGTTCCCCAACTTCAGCTGTCGGCCCCAGGACTTACATTCCGGGCGAAGTTAGAGACCTCATACTGGCGGAAGCCGGCCTCCCGGAGCATGGCCCGTCCCTCCTGGTACATCTCAGCAGCAAGCTCGGGGTCAGGGGCAGGAAGGGTGCCCCACTGCACCTGGGTGAAGAGTGCGGTGCCCCGCTCCAGGGTCAGCTGGTAGAGGGAGAGGTGGTCATCACAGCAGCCCAGCAGCGTCCGCAGCTGCCCGAGCCACGGCCCCACCTGCTGGGCCGGCAGTCCCAGCATCAGGTCCACAGACACGCGGCCGGGGAAGAGGCGCCGGGCCTCTGCCAGTGTCTGGAGAGCATCTCTGGCAGTGTGTGTCCGCCCCAGCAGCTGGAGCTCGGTGTCATCCAGGGACTGAGGAGAGAGGGTCAGGTGTAAGCACGGAGGCCAGCTCAGAGGCAGACAGGCACATGTGACCGACCTTACTGAGGACAGGTACACAGGACAGGGCAGGGAGCCGGAACAAGCCACGACCAAGGGTTATGGCTCACTGTGCGCAAAGCATTTTTTTTTTTTTAAAGATTTTATTTATTTATTCATGAGAGACAGAGAGAGAGAGGCAGAGGGAGAAGCAGGCTCCCAAGGAGCAGAGAGCCCGATGCGGGACTCGATCCCAGGACCCTGGGATCATGACCTGAGCCGAAGGCAGACGCTTAACCATCTGAGCCACCCAGGCACCCGTGCAAAGCATTTTTAAACAACGTGTAATGTATCCTTATAATCCTCCGACATTAGCTCTATTTTATAGATAAGAAAACTAAGGTTTAGAAGTGTTAAATGGGGCGCCTGGGTGGCTCAGTGAGTTAAGCGTCTGCCTTGGGCTCAGGTCATGATCCCAGGGTCCTGGGATCCACCCCCTCTCCCCCTCCGCTCATGCTCTCTTGCTTGCGCTCTCTCTCAAATGAATAAAGTCTTAAAAAAAAAAAAAAAGAAAAGAAATGCCAAGTAACTTGCCCAAGGTCATACAAAGTCAGACCTGGAATTTAGGACTGTCTGACTCCAAAGCCGAGAGTGTTTTTAAGTTTTCCTTTTTGAAAAATACTTTAAACCTTTACAAAAATTGAAAGAAGAGTACAATAAAGACCTTCATTTAGATTCACCGAATAACATTTTGCCACATTTGCTTTGTCTCTAAATATACACGTACGTGATTACAATGTTGAATCATGTGGCAGTAAGTTATAGGCCAGCACTGACCAAAAGAATTTTCTGGGATGACAGAGATGTCCTCTATGTGCACTGTCCAATACAGTAGACACTAACCACATGTGGCTATTTAATTTTAAGTTAGTTAAATTTCAGTAATCATATTCCAAGCGTTTACTGACATGTGGTCAATAGCTACTGTACTGGTCACTGCAGATATAGAACATTTTAGTAGAATATGCTAGCCACTGACCAGACGCTAGTGAGCACTTGCAACGTGGTTGCTTTAATGTAATTAACTTAAACACCATACCCCTGTACCCCTAAATACTAAAGTGCACATTTCCTAAGAACAAGGACAATCTCTTACATAACCACAATCCAATTATAGAGTTCAGGAAATGTAACACTGACACACCATTATCTAATACAGAGTCATATTCAAAAGTTGTCCCAATAATGTTCACTGTAGTAACTTCCCCTTGCCACCTGAATCCAGGATCCAACTGGGTCACACATTGCAGTCAGCTCTCATTGTTCCTTTCCTCTCTTTGAGTCTAGATACTCAGCCTTTGTCTTTCATGACATGACATTTTTGAAGAATACAGGCCAGTTTTTAAAACATCTCTTAATAAGTTCTAGAGACTTACTGTACAACACTGTGCTTATAGTTATTAATACCATACCGTACACTAAAAAAATTTGTTAAGAGGGTACACTGATCTCAGGTTATCTGTTCTTACCACAAAAAAAGTCTTTTTTTTTTTTTTTAAAGCTTATTTATTTTTTTATTTAAGTAATCTCTACTGTGGGGCCCAAACTCATGACCCTGAGACCAAGAGTCACACACTCCACTGACTGAGCCAGCCAGGTGCCCCCAAAAAAGTCTTATTTAGATTTTCCTGACGGTTCCTCACAATTAGATTTAGGATATGCATTTGGGGCCAGAATATCTCAGAAATGATGTGTCCTTTTCAGTGTATCCCATCAGAACAAAGCCCTGACCCCAAACTCTATTGTAAGTGGTAGATGTATTAGAAGGGTAGACAATACTGGATATGGATATACCAGGAGTCAACCTGAAAAGAGTATGTTTCTCCCCTACTTAAAAACCTTCAACAAGGGGCGCCTGGGTGGCTCAGTTGATTAAGCGACTGCCTTCGGCTCAGGTCATGATCCTGGAGTCCCAGGATCGAGTCCCGCATCGGGCTCCCTGCTCAACAGGGAGTCTGTTTCTCCCTCTGACCCTCCCCACTCTCGTGCTCTCTCTCAAATAAATAAATAAAATCTTTAAAAAAAAAAAAAACAACAACCCTTCAACAAGTCCCTTATCACCATGAGGCAAAAAAACCAAACTCCCTAGTATGATGCTCAAGGCTTTTGGGCCCTACATTGCAGCCTTGCCTCCCGCCTCTCCAGTGTCAGAATGACTCATAGCTCCCCAGAACGTGCAAGACTCTTCCATATCCTGTGTCTTTTCCTCCCACACCCTCTCGCCTGTGGAAGTCCTCCTCCTCATCAAAGATCACCTCCTCCAGGAAGGTGTCCAGGATTTCATCAGCCTGAGATGCCCTTCGGGCTGTACTCTGAAAGTCTTTTGTTGAGACCCCTTTATTGGCAGCCCTCACCATGCTGCAACGATCTGATGACCTGTCTGCCTCCTCCTGTGTCTCCAATCATGTAACAAAAATTTTTGACTGTCTACTCTGTGCCATGCACTACGGTGGGTACTTGGAATACTGCGATTAAAAAAAAAAAAGGCATGCATGATCCCCGCCTCATGAAGCCTGGGGGCTAGCACAGCAGCAATTAAGCACAAGTGTCACCATACACTTTCCAGTGCCTCCTGGGCCCTGGCACCCAGAGGAGCTCAATAAATGTTTGCCCAATTAATGAATGTGACCAGAGGAGAGACAGCACTGACGGTCTGGGTGCCCTGGGATGCGGTGGGTGAGATGGGCTACCTGGAGGCCGATGGACAACCTGTTGACCCCTGCAGCCCCAAAAGCTGCCAGCCTGGCTCCGGGGGCCGAAGTGGGGTTGGCCTCCAATGTGACTTCGGAGTCTGCAGGCAGGTGAGCTGCCTGGTCCACCGCCTCCAGGACAGCAGCCACAGTGCTGGGACTGGCCAGACTGGGGGTGCCCCCTCCAAAGAACACAGATTCCACCCTGGGGAAAGAGGGTGGAGAAGATGAGACCTGGGGGAGCCCTCCGGGACGCCTGCACCGGTCCTAGCTGCTCCCTCCAAACAACTTCTAAGACCCCGCCTACAGCCCCAGCACCGACCTCCGCACCCCGCTGAGTCGCAGCAGCGTCTGAGCCTCGGTCACCAGACAGCTCCGCATGGCTGCCTCCTCCACGCCGCGGGGGATGTACTTGTTGAAATTGCAGTAACTGCAGCGCTTCTCACAGTACGGCCACTGGGGGGCAGGGGTGGATGAGCGGGGCGCGGGGTGACCCCAGCGGCCCTCGCCGTTTGCAGGGTTCCGTCTCACACATCCCCATCCCAAAGTCCTCAACAACGGCTACACCATCTAAGCCACACAACCCCCCAGGGCAGGTAAGACAGGGAATATTATGCCCACTTCATTAGGAGAAAACTGAGGCTCATAAGGAAATCACTCGGTCAAGGTCACCGAACTGGTGAGCACCAGCGACTTCAGGTCTCCGATCCGGGTCGTTTCCTTGCCCGAGGACCGCGTCCCGTCCCAGACCTCGTCTGCGCGCCGGGACAGACGGAGGTGGCTTCACCGCGCGACCAGCCGCCACGTGGGCCCCGCTCCGCCGCCCCCGCCCCCGCCCCACTCACGTGCACGTAAAGCGCCGCGCGCGAGCTCGGGGGCGCACGACTCGAGGATCCTCTCGCGCCCTCGGCGTGGCGGCGCCTCTGGGCAACTTTGGCCGCTGCCGCCCAGCCGCGGGCTCGGGCCCCGGGGAGCGCCATGGCGCCCGCTG